GAAGAGAGAAGAAGGAAAGAAGAAAATGAGGGAAGAAGCTCCTCCTCGACTCTTCCCTCCTCCTCGACCACCGTCGGAGTTTCGCTGGACTTTTCAAGTGACGTCGAAGTTCCGCTTGACTTTTTAAGTGATGTCGAAGTTCCGCCCGACTTTCAAGGGACGCCGGAGTTCTGCCCGACTTTCAAGTGACACCGAAATTCAGTCCCACTTCCAAGTAACGCCGAAACTCTGCTCGATCACCAAGTGACTCTGAAGTTTTGCCCGAATATCATCTAACGGCGGAGTTCTCCCCAGCCGCCATATTACTTCGGACTTCTACCCAACACAGGACCTCTACTCATCGCCAGATTTCTACCCAACGCTAGACTTCTGCCCCTTATCGGACTTTCGTCGGACATCTATTTGATACAAGATTTTTATCCATTGCTGGACTTCTATTTGACGCCCCCTTTTTTACCTCCGTTGTTAGACAACGATCCTTCTGACTTACGTCACCCACCGACTACAAGTTCGTTAGAGGAGCAGGCGTGATACGATGGTATGCTAGACTAGGATTAGTCACATCAAAGGCCTTTCCCCAAAAAAAGGCTTCATTTGTAATCGACTGCAAATAATAGTGGATTCATTCAAACTAGGCTAGACCCAATGGTTTTTCTCCCTTTTCAGGGGTTTTCCACGTAAAATCTTTTAAAGAAACTTTTTAATAGTTTTTAAAGAAACTTTTTAATTTTTTTTAAAAAAGGAAGGCTTTGTTTGAGGCGGCTTTCTTACTACTTCTTAATGCAATTTTTTAGCATAAAAATTTTAATTTTTATAATAAAATTTGTTTTAAGAAACAGTAAAAAAGCTGCTCCAAAAAAAATTTAAGGCTTCATTTGAAACGGCTTTTTTTTTACTTTCTAAAACGACTTTCTAGTATAAAAATTTTTTAATTTGAAATTTTTATACTAGAAAATATTTCCAAAAATAGTACGAATGATATCCCCATGGTGTTGTTAATTGTTATTGTTATCATATAGGTTTCCATTGAGAGCACTTTTTTACTAGTTTTTAAAGTAATATTTTAATACATAATTTTTATACTAAAAGCTTCAAAAAAAAAAAAAAATAGTAGCTGTATGCCTTATTGTCGTCCGGAAAAGCGAACCTTGGATTCCGCGGCGGCATTCATCCAACCCAGCAAAACATCTAATGACCCGAATAAGTTCGCTGTCTTCCAATCCCGTTAAGGAGCAATTCATTTCTTATACTTTGGCCCCTCGAATTTAAGAATATTCAAACTTAGCGTGTTCGCAGTTAACTTCTTTAGGGGTGCCATTAAATTCGATATTTGTGTAATTAGCTGATATTTGATTCACTAAATAATTTATTGTTTTTCTTCATTTCTTAATATAAATATAGTATTTAAGCTCAATTTTTTCACAAAGTTAACACAAATAAATTTTATTTTTATTTTTTATTCGGATTTTATTTGAGATAATTTCTTTATAAAGCAATATTTAACCTCAATATAGAACAATTATTAGGTCAGGTGACCTGACGTAGCTCTACGTTCGGACGTCAATAACATGTCGCCACGTGCTCTTATTCTTTAATGCGCGGCCCTACGACCCGACCCGGACCGAAACCCGGGATTGCTATGTTCGCGTATTACTAGGTATTGCTTAGCAATAACAAGAAATACCGCTCTGTCAAGACCAATATCGAGCAATACAGATATTGCTCGGTATTGCTAGGTATTGATCTTCACAGAATGATATTTCTCGTTATTGCCGAGCAAAATCGACCAATACCTAGCAATACCGAGCAATACGCGAAGATAGCAATCCCGGGTCCATTCCGGGTCGGGTTGTCGGGCTGCACAGTAAAGAATATGAACACGTGGCACTATTTTACTGACGTGCAAACGTATCCCTCAATATATGTGTAAGCCATTACTGATAATGTGAGGATTCCTGTGAGCACTTCTCTTGTCGGACAAATTTCTCTGGGTTGGTTTGACGGTGACGGCTCAGAGGAGGGTTTCGTTTGTAAGCAGCAAAGCAGAACGGATCGCCCAATGGGATTAATATTGCTCTATAAAATTCAATAGATTTGGTACGAAATGTAATTAGAAATTTGTTTAACTTTCTCTCAGTTAATTTCAAATAGTGTAAATTAGAAATTCCAAATCTGCATTATTGATTGATGTGCAATTTAGTAAAATATAGTATGCGCAAAAGAAATTTCACTACATCCAATATCGACTTATTTTAACTTGAGTCATGATTGTCCCATGTTGATGCATCAATGTGCATAAGTTAAGCAAATTCAGGCTTCGTTTCAGATAATTTTCTTACTATTTTATTAAGTGGTATTTTAGTATGAAAATTTTTTGAAAATAGAAAAAAATAGTGGTAAAAAATTATCTCAAAAGAAGATTTAGAGGACTTAAAAATATTTAAGTTTTATTTAATAATATTTTAAATACTTTATTTTATAGCTATAGTATGTTTGACTTTCTCTTTATGATTGTCATTTTCTCTAACTTTACTTGAGTGTGTAAGAACTTCATATATGATTAGGGTGTCAAAATCACGTTCCTGGTCGTCGGTCGGGTTCTGGTTGAACCCGAGATTGACACGTTACTATTTGACATGACCCAAACCTAACTCGTTTTTGCAAACATGATAGAAATTTCAACTCGGACCCAACCAGTCGGGTTTGCGGGTTGACACGACCCAACACGAAACTATAGTGATTTGGTCGAAGAAGCGCACGAATGGGAGAAAATGGTTATGTTTGCAATAAGCGAGCTCCCTCCTGTCATCATCGTTACTTCAAATCCAACAAAAGAACAACAAGCTGTTGTGACTTTCGACACGACAGGAAGGAACGTCGTCAAAGGAGGCAAAAAAGTCTTTTATAGACTCATTCAAAAATGTTACCTCACGAAAGGGAGAATATGGAACCTCACACGTTGAACATAGTCTTTCAACCAGATAGGAAGGAATGTCATTGAAGGTGGTAAATGTTGTCGAAGGAGGAATGAACGTGCCACTGGAAGGCATAAGCGTGATTAGGGCTAGGGCTGGCGGACAGAATTGCTTATCGTTTATACAATTATACGCCTGCACGAAGTGTTTCAAAATCATGTCCAAATCGGGTTTCCGGGTTGACCCGAGTCAGACTCGAAATTCAAAACGTGTTGAAAATTGAGACCCGAACCTAACCAATTCTTAAATCAGTTTGACCATAACCTGAAAACTTTAAGTCGGATTTTCGTGTCGTATTAATTTTTTACACCCCTATATAGAATAAAATGCAACTGTGTAATATATCTGTTGTCATATATTTTCTAAGACATAACAAAGCACATCCAATAAAGCCCATCCCTTTTATTGGATGTGCTTTACAAAAAATCTATTGCATCAATCACAAGAAATTCCTTGACATTTCCTTTTTAAGTTTGGAAAGCAAGTCTTTTCCATTTTTCCTATGTACTCTACCGTGGCCCATCCTATTTGATGTGGATGGGTGTGAAGTAAAAAAGTAAGAAAAAAAAAATCAAGGGATAAAAATATAAAATTACCCAAACTTGTGCCTATTAGCTTTATTAAAAAAGAAATCATTTAAAATTTAAGATAACGCAGGGGTGATATGTCACATTTTTAAAGTATAAATAATGGACTTGATACGCCATGTAAAAATTATCTTGATCGGACGCGAATCTCGAGAGAAAAAGCTAGTTGGAAACTTTAAAATTTAATTTCGGGAGCATCCGAACTCCGATTTCAGCAAGCTTATAGTCGAACTGAGCGTCTCGGAAATACGAACTCAACGACACCAAGATCAACCCAATCCGAGCCCAAATGGGTCCAAATCATGGATCCAAAGCGCTGTTGGAAGGTTCAAACCGCAATTTGAGTTACCAAACGGACTTCGATTTTGACGAGCTTATACTCGAATCGAAGGGCTCGACGAGACGAATCCAACGAGCCCAAGATCACAAAATTCCGACATCACTAATACATTCAAATGTCCAATGAACGGTGCACGATCGTAGGATTCAATATCGGCCGTCCATTGGACCACTCCCTATTCGCCCCTGATCTCATGCCTATTTACGGGCCATGCCACTCCAAAAAATCTATAAATAGAGCCCTCATTTAAAGGACTATAATCGGGGGACGATGGTCCAAGGAACTTAGCTGGGCAACAGAGGTCTGTGGGATCGTTGTCAAGTGAAGGTGGTCGGAAGGACTATAGTCGGCGATCAAAGGGGGCATAAGAATCATAATCATCGAGCGATAGTGGTCGGAAGGATCATAATCAGGTGACGAAGTAAGAAGGACCGTAGTCGGCCAGAGATGGGAATTGAAAGAATCGTAGTCGGATGATTGAGGTCAAAGGAATATTGTCGATATGCGACAAAGATATGAAGGATTGTATTCAATGGGCAATGCTTTCATAAGAATAGAAGGGGAGAAACTAAGGTCGAAGGACCAAAGTCGGTGGGCGAAAGGGGTCAAAAAGATCATAGTCGAGCGACCCAGATCGAATGATCGTAGTTAAGCAACTGATGTCGCAGGACTGTAGATGATGGGTGATAAAGGTCAAAGGGATCATAGTCGTCAGACAACAATAGTCATAAGGACCATAGTAGTAGGGCAATGGGGGTGGGAAGGACCGTAGTTGGTAGGCAACAGAGGTCAAAAGTACAATAATCTAATGAAGGTGGTTCGATACGGTCCGAGGATTGTAGTTTAGCGACAGAGGTTGGCAAGACCATAATCGGGCAATGGTGGTTTGAGGACCATAATCATGTTTGATAGTGGTGAGGGTTTGTCGATAATGGTTCTCGATCAGAGCTTTCAGATTCTTTAAGCTTTGGAGTTCTCTTAAATCTTTATCCTAGGGTTCAAACCTCCCAATTCCCTTCAATAGAAAGCTACATGAGACACCTCATATTAATTTCTTTTATTATGGGGCATTTATTCTGCAGTTAAATGTCATAATGATGTCTAAATTGAGCGATCCTGGGCTCATTCGATTCGTCTCGTCTAGCCGCTTGATAAACCCTAAAGCAGCCAGCAAAACCCCAAATAACCAGCAAAATACAAAAAGTCAACAAATGAACAAAAGTAATTACCCCCCGTCTCCTTCCCTTCGCCCTCTCGGGCGCTCCTGGCAGCGGAAGTGCAGCCAATCTTGACTTGCTCAATTTATCCCGTCCTCGACTGCTACGTCGATCTCAACCTCTTCCATCATAGCCTTCGACTCCTCCGATCAAATGAGGTCCCTCACGGCCTTTCCTCGTCCTTGTCCACCGCTTCCCGTTGTGATAGCCACTTGCTGCTGCGCCCTACAACGCTACCATGATCGAGAGGTAAGTTTTACTATTATGCCTACTCGCCCTCTACTGCAATGACTTGCACCTCCACTATTTGTTAAAATGCCAACACCGTCATTTCTTCTAAGAGAATAGAGATGGTCCCTAACGCTAGTTGGAGCCACATGCATTAGATGAGTAAGGTCCTATTAGAATACCGCGCCTGGTTGAAATGTTGCAGAATAGGGAAAAGCTTGTCATGCTTTAGAGATTGCGAAGGCTGGTTTTCTAGATGATTACTTTGCAGCTCATTTCATGAGGACATGATTTGAGTTGATTGTTTTGGAAAACCAGCCGCATTCTTGACTCAGGGGAGGTGAAAACTCGACTTCGTTTATAGAAGGAGAGATTCTTCTATGTCGCAAGTCCTGTAATTAACAGGTATTTGAGGGCTTCCATTAGAGAGTTAAATAGCCATGTAAGTGAATGTGTGCCATATGGTTGGATATGAATTCCGTTTTCTGAAGCATTAACTAGTATGGAAAGAGTACCGTATACTATAATTATTTAGATAGTAGTGTTATTAAGATTTCAAAATGATTTGTTAAGAATAAGTTTGATGCTTATCAATAATTAATGGAAAATTAGCATTACACCACTTAATTGGGATAAGCTAATGATGATGATAGTTTCATATATTATTGATGCGTCATCAAAATTTGATTTGCTCAAGCCTGAATTTTAATGTATATTTGAATTAGAAACTTATGAATCAAATTCAGTACTATACAAACTCTAATTTTAGCAAACTTACAACCAAATTGAATATCTTGATGTGATAACTCATCGACATCCAGAATGATCCCATCTAAATCTGAGCAGATCAAGCAATTGAAATATAATTCAAAATCTCATATCCTTATAATCATATCACTCATCTTGACAAGCCAAATCCAAGAAATCCAATGTCACTTAATTTGACAATATTAAGACACTTAAATATTGAAAAGGTGTAGTCCAATCTATCGTTTGGATATGAAAATGTGGTTTTGCTGTTTGTTGCTTTGATCATTGGAGGTTGTCATGAAAGAAAGTGAAGCATTTACATGAATTTATAAATAAATGACCACACGAAATATTACTACTTTAGAACATTGCACAAAGCAGATCATTAATGCCTTCTAAAGCACTGCAGAGGCAAGTATCCAAGGCCTTCTAGTACACTAGTAATATAACACTTGTAGAAGATTATGACAGTACGACAAGCTAATACAACAAGTTGCCAACACAAGTTGGCTATGTGAACTGGAAAGTAAGCATCACAATCTTAGGAATTCCTACGGGTGTGCCAGTGAAAGCATCTAGTGTGTCCATTTAAAGTGACCCACAACTTACTATAGAGTTATAGTTGATCATAGAATCCAATTTCTTAAGAGTTGTGTGTCAACAAGCCACATATCTTGTTGATTGACATTTGGATTTATCAAATTTCAATAATTGGTTTAAAGTTGGTTTGAATATGGATGATTTGATTAGGTTTAATTTTAATTTTGCTATTTTTCCGTTGATTTTTATTCATTTTTATTTTCTATTTTAATTTGTCTACTTTGGATTTTTAATTGATTTTTTTGATTTAATTGATTTGTTTGATTTAATTTGGTTTAATATTGATTTAATTTGAAATTGAAATTTTATTTAATTTAATGTTCGGCTAAAATTCAATTAATAAAATTCAATTAGGATTTAATTGGATCTAGTTTTTTGTTTTTTTTGGATAAAACTCACGAATGGGCCTATGCGTTAATAAAAATAAAACTGATACAAGTCCTTAAGGGATCAAGAGCTCTCTAAAAATACAACATTTGAAGCTAAACCTAATGAGCCTATGATCCAACTAATACAACATTCAAACAAATAAAATGAAAAGCAAGAAAAACAAAGTGGAGCCAAAAACTAGCCCAACTCAAGGACACTGGCAAAGAGAAAACTAGAGACTCCTAGAAGTAGAGCAGGAACACAGCTGGAGTAGCCAATAAAATTTGCACGAACATCTGCAAGAAAGATCAACCTCCAACGAAAGAGAATAAGCTCTAAACAAAAGAAACAAATGACAAACATAACCAACACCAAAAGAAAAAAAATTTGTACTAGAAAATTGTTTTAGAATGCAATAAAAAAGTTGTCTCAAACGAAGCCTTAATTGATCAAATTAGGTTCAATTAAAGTTAAGGGAAAAGTATTTTCCTCTATATATAAAAAAAGGTTCAATTAAAGTTTTAATTTGGTTATATTCCAATTTAGATGAATTTAAGGATTCAAATAAAGTTCCATTAGGCTTGAAATAGGTTCAAATTTTAATTAAGATCGAGTTAAGGTTCAATTAAGTTCCTTTAGGATTCAATTGAGTTCTGGTTTAATTAGGTTAGGTTTGTTTTTTATTAATTAATTTGAATTTTAATATTACTTTTGTTTGATTTAATTAGGTGTAATATTGATTTAGGGTTTAATGAGCCTTAACTTTGTAATTAATAGGTAGGTGTGTTTTGTTGTTTTAATAAATTTTTACAATTTTTGTAATTTTAAACTTCATTTAACATGTAATATTAATTTTTAGAATTTTTTGGTTTGGGAAATAATGTCATTAACTTTCCATAATCATGATATGAGTGCATCATAAAATCAGAGAAATTAAAATATTAGTTTCCCTATTTTTCCATAAAATTTTGACTATGAATATGTTTAGCTTCAAATCAATTAATTAAGCTTATAAATCTAGTATCCTATCTTTGGGACATATGCTTCATCAGGTCCATTGGTGGGAAATTGGAGAATTGTTCTTTCCTTGAGCCGGGTAGTGATGATTGGGGCTAAGGTTTGAAATTATGCAATCAAATATTGAGATGTTTTATTTTCATGAGACTAAGTGTAAGCCTCAGGGCATTCTGAGGCATGAGCCTAAAAAATTAAACCATTAAATTAATAAAATTACAGTAACATACATAAAAATCAAAGTAAGACAATTTTAAAAGTGATACAATACTACAAATAATGTTAAATAAATAGTGTATCCCTCTCCTAGTTCAACATACATTAGTAGTCTAATATCATAATTTATGAATTTGAAATTCCCCTACTGTTATCACTTAGAGTATCTTCATTAAAATCATCATTGTAGTTAATTGCTTTCTCTCTTCGCTAATGTTAGAGCTAAGGAAATGAGTTTCCATCAATAAGAGGAGAGGCGTTGAAGGAGAAGTGGCGTCGGCAAAGTAGCGATCATGATATAACAAGATTAAGTAGCGAAGTAAGCGTTCTGTGGCATGTGGCTGGGAGTTTGAGGTTGTGCAAATTTTCTCAAGTTTGATTTAATTTCCTTACAGTAATATGTTTATTTATATATTAAAAGTTCATAAATTTAACCTTTAAATTTACTTAAACCCTAATTTTTTTAGTCTTAAACCTTTTCAAAATCGCATTAAAATTGTGCTTTGACATGCCTTTAGCCAAGTATGTGGTGTACGCTTTATTGCCTTTATTTTTTTTAAATAGCACTGAAGAAGGCCTCTAATTGTACAAATTTTAAATGGCACATGGGTTGTCTTCAACCTCCTGTTGCAAGCATCAGCCATTGCTTCTGATTATGTTAAATTTACAATGACCCTTTACAGTTTCACTTGATTAAGGTAACTATTTTGTATCTCTAGATCAAGTGTTTATGGGTTTGGATCCCAAAAGTCATGCTGTGCACTTTTGGAGTAGCAGGACTGACCATTCTATCTTTATCACGTCTCTTCCTCTAACATAATGATATTTATTATGTATGTTGTTAACATTCTTCTTACTAAGGCTATTACTCCTAGGCTTCCAACATTGATGAAAGAAAACAATGTCTTTCAAAGACATTTATCGCTAAATATCTAAGGCGATTAAAATAATTTATTGGCAGTGTTACATATAGTAAGCAAGGTGTTTCTCTCTCTTTCAATGAAATATGTTACAAACTTTGAAGAAATTAGTCTTCTTGGGTGCTAGACTTTTGAATCTCATTTGAATTATCAGTAATCATCCAAGAATTAAATTAAATGTTGTAGAGATGAGGATGCTCAGGTGAATGAGCGGTTTTACACTTAGAGATACAATGTGAAATGAGTATATACATAAAAAGGTTGGAGTAGTTCCAATGGCAAATAAGATTAGAGAGAGTTATCTTAGATGGTTTGGTCACATAAAACGTCAGCTTTGTGATGAACCTATTAGGAGAGTAAATGTATTAGATCAATCTATGTTAAAAAAGGTAGAGATAGACTTAAAATTTTGATCAGAAAGTATTAAAAATGATTTTTTTTTAAAATTATATTTAAATGAGAATTTGACTCTTAATAAGACACAATGGAGAAAAAAAATTCATGTAACTAATCCCATACAGTGGGATAAAGGCTTGTTGTTGCTATATCCAAAAATGATTAATGCATTGAAGATTCTTCTTGCTTTTAACTTTTATTTGGTAAACTTATCTATTTGACTCTCACTTAATTAGATATGTCATTTGTTGTTGATGTGGCTAATTAACATATGCAAAACCTAAGAAGTCATTATGATGCTGTCCGAAGAATTTTAAGATATATTAAGGAATATTTTAGAAAATGTCTACTCTATTATTAACATAATCATCAAAGCACTTAAACTTATCATGATGGTGAAAATGTTGGATCTCTTGAGGATTAAAATTCTTCTTTATGGTATAATCTTTGTGAGGGCAAGTTCTTATGCCATAGAAGTAGGGAAACAGAACCACAAAATCTATCCTTTAAGAGACAAACCTGAATCAAACTTTAAGCAAACTGTACTGTGACAGGAGCGCTCACATGCTATGAATCCCAACTGGCAACTGATCCTAATAGCTTCCCTCACTGCGTAGCTGTCATTCCATTTGTCTGCTCCAACTGGTCTTGTTCCTCTTTGTTGCGTCTTCAGAGCAATTATTATGTTTGCTAGGTGGCTGTAGAGCTGCAGTAAAACCATTTGTATATTTTATTATGGATTTCTTAATCCATAAGATTCCTTAAAATTTCTTCCATTCCTTGAATGCGATTCTTGGAATAATTACTATCTTCTTATTACGGCTAAGCTAATAATGTGCACTTTCATGTCTTTTGTTCACTCAAATGCTGTGAATTTTTGCTCTCCAGGAGACCAAACTCCACAGCTGCAATGGAAAATTGTTTGGAGATATTTCTTTTTCTTAGAGCATCTCCAATCGAACTCCAAACGCTTGTATGGCGTCGCTCACGAGCTCCAGCCGAACGATAAAACTTCTACTATTCGGTTGTGGGTGAACAGTGGGACGCCAATATTGGCGTTGCACTTGGCGAAAAAACGCGGCCAAGAAGAAAACGACCGTTACCTTGGCAAAATGGAATTTGGTTGGAGTTGAATCACTGCATTTTTTAATTTCACAACATTTTGGAGTGAAAAATGATATTTTCGGTTGGAGATGCCCTTATTGATGGAACTGGATCAGGTATGGATTGCTGATTATTCATCTTTTGTATCTAACACTCACTGCTACTCCAAGCCTAATATTAACCTCTTGACATGTGCCAACAGCAATGGGCCCGGCATCTTCTGAGACATCAGCGGCCTGTTCGGCCATCTTCCTATGCCCTATTCTGCCAGTTGCCCACAAAAGCAAGAACTAATAATGGAGGGATCTGTCACGTTAGATTACTTTCACTCTGAAGTGGATAAATTTTAGAAAGATCTCAGTTAAAGATTATAGTTTCGTTTGGAACGGATTTCTTATTGCTTTTTAAAGCAGTTTTTTAATATTAGAAAGCTGTACTAGAAAGCTGCTTTAAGAAAAGTCCTCCTAAATAAAGCCTAAATTATAAGAAGGAAAGTGATTAAAAATAAATTTAAAAAGAATCATACACGTAAATAGGTTTTGCATTTTTTGTTAAAATAGTAAAACGCGAAAAAAATTGTGGATTCGTTTGGGACGGCTTTTTTAGTGCTTTCTAAAACGGAGTTTTAATACAAATTTTTTTATTTTTGTACTAAAACGGGCAATAAAAAACCCGTCCCAAACGAAGCCTGTGTTTTCCTTCAAAACGCAATTTCATTATACTTTTTCAATTGAGAGAGCTGGAGAGAGAGAAATCGATAGAAAGTTGGAGAGAAAAGGTAGAAATAGATTCATAAGGAGGAGGGAGAGAGAGAGAGGGAATTTCTTTTAACTTTAATAATATAAATTAATATTTTAAATATTTAATTAAATTTTAATTAACTTTAAAATTTTTAGTAATTTTTATCTATAGGAAACCAGTTCACAAGAAGACCATTTCAAAAGGGCCTGCCTATGTAGCATAATAGAGCAAAAGTTATTAGGGAATTTACTCTTTAGAAGTGCTAACTTGGGTTCATTTCAGAATTCAACCCAAAAGTAAGAAGCCCCAAATATAGTCAATTGGATTGGACCAGTTTTTTATCAATTGAGAATCTCAACCTGGCCTGACTACACAAGCACTTGAGACATATGAGGTATGTTTGAACTCTCAAAATAGATGTAATGATTCAATTTGTACAATTCTAACTCTAGAAATAATCAAATTACTATTAAATATAAAGATTTATTTAAAAATAATAATAATTTACTTGTTTGTGCTTCATTTGGGACGGCTTTCTTAACACTTCTTAAAGCAGATTACTTGTACAAAATCTTTAATTAGAAAGCTGCTTTAAGAAGGAATAAGAAAGCCTTCTCAAACAAAGCCTTAATTAGTTAGTTTTGAATTTTGTGTTACTTTAGGTTTCGTTTGGGATGGCTTTCTGAATGCTTCTTAAAGCAGCTTTTTAGTACAAAATTTTAATTTTTGTACCAGAAAGCTGTTTTAAAAAGCATTAAGAAAACAATCCCAAACAAAGCCTTAACTTGGTACGATTTTTTTAAGTCCTTTAAAGGAACTCGAGTGTTACACAATGTTATTTGAATTGAAATTTTTAAATCATGTTCAAGTTGGGATGTTATATTAGAGCTAATGTTGAAATTCCTATTTATGTTCTCATTGTTCTTTTTTTTTTTTCCATAAAATTATAAATCAATTATGAAAATATAAATGTTCCTAATGCTCATGCTTTTGTGACATTCTCCATATTTGTGTTATAACTTGTTGACCAAAGAAGATTAATGATATATATATATTGATATGATCCATTTTAATTTTAAGTATAAAATTGAATATCAACCATTTGATATTTCTACAATAGCCTAATTATTATGAGATTAAGGCTTTGTTTCGGATGGCTTTCTTACTGATTCTTAAAGCAGTTTTTTAGTATGAAAGCTGCTTTAAGAAGCAGTATGAAAGCCATCCCAAATGAAGCCTAAATTCAAAATTTTTAATGCGCCTTAATAATCTATCCTTTAAAAAGATTTTTTTATATATAATTAAGCCTAATAAACCAATATTCACCCAACTCATCCACATGGTATGTAAGTGGGAGTCATTTGCTAGCACTTAGAAGCTTAATCATGTTATAATGTGCCAATTGACCATAGAGTTTTAAAATATGTGAATCACTCGGTCGAAGTCTTTTCTCTAATATCATTTATTAGGGACCGTGAAAGAAAAAGTGAAAGTTCATCAACTCTATATATCATTATTCAATCCTATTTTTTATCCAAAATTTTAAACTTATGAATGAAAACTAACTTGGGCTTCGTTTTGGACGCATTCTTACTGCTTTCTTAAACATCTTTCTAGTACAAAATTTTTTAATTTTAAAAATTTTTGTACTAAAAAGTTATTTTAGAAAGCAGTTAAAAAATCATCTCAAACAAAGCCTTAATATTTCTCTATTGATATAACTTTCTCTTATGAAATTAAATTCAATCTTCTTACTTTCCTTTACAAGAGGTGGTTAGAATAATAATGCTATCATGCTACAATTATGGAAGGTGCAACATCCCATTTTATTCTTCTATATTGGCCACAATCTCTTACAATTCACTTCTTTTATTAGTGTGCGAGAGCATCGTGTGCAAATCCTCTATAGTCATGTAGTACTATAAAAGTGCAATAACAACATACAAATCAATCACAAAAAATTTTTGTACTCAAAAACAGCTTTAAAAGCACTAAGAAAGTAGTCACATCCCAAGCAAAGACGTTGGATTAATTATGTTGTGCGGATGTCAAACATCGTACAGAGACTTATGCACGGAGTTCTGTATCCGGTCTCCGCACATAATAATTTCTCCTTTGTTTGTGATAGTTTTTTACAACTATTTTTTTATTACTTTTAAGAAATTTTTGTGCTAAAAATTATTTTATAAAATAGTAAAACAATTATCTGAAATTAAGGCATAGAATGAATGATCAAGATGATGTGTGCTAGCACCCAAATTTTATTAAAATAAATCAATCTGATATGTTTAAATCCCAATAATAATTGATGTTCAGCACAAAGCTATGCTAGATATGCGAATTATAACTTTTGAGGGCCCCAATGATGTGACAGCGGAACGGGACCAATGTTGTCTGTCACGCGCAAGCAGGTGAACAACTATGGAGTGGCAGTTTAGTAATTAAAATGAATATTTTGTTTTTAAGATAACTTAGTGAATATAAAGCTAAAGTATATCACATTGTATATCAAAATTTAAGTAAACATTGCAAGGGATTAATGGAATTAAAACTAACCTCAAATTTCGTTAACTGACGAATAATTATCTAATTAATCACAATTAAGTTTTAATTAGTTTAATTAAACAAGTTTAATGAAATGCATGGAATTTATGGATACAATTATAGGTTGTGATGATTAATAAATAATTAAGAAATATGGATCAAAATCATTAGTAAGTTCGTTTTTTAAATAAAATAAATAGGAATATAAGTGGCTTATATTGGATCACATAAACTTGCTAAAAAATTTAAGTAATTAAGGTCATGAATATGAATAACGTATGCATATGATCACATCATTCATGCATATTGCCTGAAATTAGGGGTGCAACCGAGTCAAGCCGGCTCGAACTCGACTCAGTAACAAGCTCGATAAGTCGAGCTGATCGAGCTCGCGAGTCTCGAACACAGTTTCGAGCTTGAAGGCTTATCAAGCTCAAAAAGGCGTCTGACTCGACTCGTCGACTCGACGAGCTGCTCGACAACCGAGCTAGCAGGCGGAAAAAGCAATTTGGGAGAGGGAAATTGAAATGGCGAGTAGGAAAATCCAATTTGACACTCGGACGGATGCTTATCGAAGGCTCGGCATTGACGGGAAAATACAATGTTACGCTCGGCGACGACATCGAAGGCAACGACATTGAAGACAGCTAGCGAAGGTCTGCAACGGACAACATAAACATAAGCGGAAGCGGGCGACAGCATCTACGACGTTTGCGACGGACAATGGCGAAGGTCTCACGACGGTGCTTGACGATGATGTCGTCTGATTTGGACGACGACGTTGCAAAGTTAACAGACGCTGGCGCTCGATGTCCCGCTCGACGAGCTCACTTTTTCTCTGTCGAGTCGAGCTCGACTTTTGAGCTCGAGCTCGAGTTCGATTTTCGACAGCTGAGCTCGACTCGAACACCTCCCGACTCGAGCTCGTTTGCACCCCTACCTGAAATGTTTTAAACAACCACATGAGTATAAAACTCACTAGGCCAATATTTTCCCCTCAAATTAGAGTTCAATTCATAGTTTAAAAATAACATGAAATTTATCTTTTTACTCTATAGTTTTAGCATACTATATCACATTGGTATGAATGAAGAAATGCACATGTATCAATGCTCACTTATAACTCTCATTTACCATCTCCTAGCTACTTGAGGCAGGGGTAGAGCATAACCAGAGTGGAGCAAAGTATTTTCCAATATAGAGTCATCTCAATGTCAGAGCAAAACATAGTAGTATGCCAAAGCACAAAATTTGAAGTTTACTTTCATTTCTATAAAAGAGCTTCAGAATATCATAAAATACATGATGATGATGCAAATGCAATATACAACTGAGGAATTAAAGCATGTACATACTAAATACCATATTATATACTCCTAATATATGTAGAGGCTATCAGTTATCATTTTCATGGTTTGGAAGTGCTTTATATTGGCCAATATGTCATTGTTATCAAATATTCTATGTTGAAATGTATATCTGATCTATCTGTATATGACATACAATTGCCATGCAAATATATCAATAAACAGCTATATACTCAATAATGCAGTCTACGGTTTCATTTATGACACCTTTTTTTTTTTAAATAAAAAAAATTATATTATAAAGTTATTTTAAAAAATAGTAAGAAAATTATTCCAAGTAGGGGTGTTATGGGTCGGGTTCGGGTCGAACCCAAGTTGACCCGGGTCTAAATGGGTCAACTCGAACCCTACCCGTTTTTGTAAACGGGTCAGGTTTTTCAACGTGGACCCGACCCACTTCTGATCTGAGTCAACCCGACACACGAATGGCGGAGGGTAGACGGCTAAGAGCTGATTGCAGATGGCTAAAGCTGAGGGCGGACGGTCTGGCGGCACGCGAAAGGCGGAGAATGGCAGGCTAACAGAATAGCGACGCAATGCCACTAGCTAACATGACACGAAGCGAGAGCTGACACGACCCATTTTTCTCGGTCAAGTCCAGGTTGCCGGGTCAACACAAACCCAACCCGTTTTTTCAAATGAGTCAAATCTGGGAACATGAACCCGACCCATTTTAAAATCGGGTCAGGTCAAACCCGAAATTTCCGGGTCATGTCCGAATCAAAATTTTGAATCGTGTCAAATATTTATACCCCTAATCCAAAGCAAACCATACATTACTCTATTGATTGGAAGTTTAGACTCTCGACCAAGAGGTCATGTGACCTTAAGACTTCATTTGAAATGGCTTTTTTACTTCTTTCTAAAGTAATTTTTTGGTATAAAAAACTTTTGAAAAAGAAATTTTTCCTATAAAAAACTGTTTTAAACAGTAAGAAAATTATCTGTAATGAATACTAAATTAAAATTATGATTAGATTTGCACAAAATTTGAACAAAAAAAAAACCTTCATAATCTATATAAATCATGTGTACAACAATTATTTACATGCCAATAAATAACTACACAGAACACGAAAAAGTACTTTATAACCAATACTTACAAATTTCACGAGCAATATGGACCATTTGTGCAAAAAATACATTTCGATTTAGAATACCTTAGTAGGGCTGTCAAAAACGGGTCACGGGTCGGATTCGGGTCCAATCTGAAATTGACCCGACACTGTTCAACCCGACCCGAACCAGACCCATTTTTGCAAACGGGTCGGTTTTCCGAACCCGAACCCGACCCGCTTCGGGTATATTTTATTATTTTTTTATTTAATTCAATTTATTTAAATCTAAATAAAAAATCGAGCCCTCATTCACGAGAAATTATTACATTCGGTCAAAAATCGAACAGTCCGAATGTATACTGAGCAATATCGAGTTCAAAATACCGAGTTTTAGGTGACGGGGCGCGTGATTATTGGTCTCTGAACGCATTCGAACACCTGAATGTAATAATTTCTCCTCATTCACAAGCAATAAAGAGCAACACATACTAATACAACTTTCACAATCAATATTGATTTATCTGTAAAATGGTTTCACACCTTATAGATTTAGGTTTAGTTTGGGACATATTTTTTACTATCTTTTAAAATAATTTTTTTACAAAAATTTTAATTCAATAACTTTATAAAAAGTTATTTCAAAAATAGTAAAAAAAATATTCCAAATAAAATCTTAAAGCACTTGTACAAGTTATCCACTGTATGCCCTGGGTTCGAACACCAGATACAACTTATCGTTCGGAGATCAATCAGGTGCAGCCACGTTATCTAGTACTGAGTAAGATTGAGCTCGGAGCTATGAAGTACTGAGTTTGAAATCTAAAACAATATTAATTTTTTTATATATAAATACAAAAAAATAAAATAGGTATTGAAATGATAACAACGTTAGGGGTGTCAAAATGGGTTTACGGGTCAGGTTCTGGTCGAACCCGAATCGACCCGAACCTGATCTGGGTTTAAACGGGTCAACCCAAACCCGATCCAATTTTACAAACAGATCAAAACTTTCAACCCGGACCCGACCCGACCCGTGGCCCGTTTGTAAAATGAGCGAAATGTAGATGCAGAGATGCGGAGGAAATAAAGAATTCTTCCGTCTTGCTATGGAGGTCCCATTCTACGATGGCGAATTCTTCTGTCATTCATCAGCGCGCGATGGCTCAACAGTCAACACCCCTGTGCTCGAATCTAAAGATGAATAAATTTCAAAAATAAGCCGAGATCTTGAGATTAATGAAACAATCGAATGCATTAAGAACGGCATTCTACCTCTGTTTTTTTTTTTTTTGGGACATTTAGGTCATTGAAGGCAAACTCACACACACAACGCATATAGATAGACTCGAATCCTGAACCTCTTAATTGGAAGCCTAAGCTCTCAACCAATAGGCCAAGAAGAGTTGTGTAATTCTACCTCTGTGATTAACCAGTTTTAATTTGGCAAGTTTCTCGTGAATTTATAAAGCAATTAGCGGACGGATTCTTACTGTAAGAGCCTTTTTTGGCTGATTAATTGGGTTCTTTGAGGATTAGAAAGCAGGGATTACGATTTTGAATTGGATCCAAGACCCCGGAGAGAAATTGAGACAGGGAATGTATGTACATGGCTGCGTCGGAGGCTTCGGTGAAGGCTACCGTTTGTCGAGGTCGCTGCGGCCATGGGCGAATCTAGGTTTTAGCTTCTTTTTTAATGGTGGGAAATTTTTTTTTTTTTTTTTTTTGTGGGGGATGGACAAAGATGCCTATGATTGATAAAATTATGACAAAAAAAAAATTAGAGGAGACAAAATACTTAAAATATCAAAAAAAATTTAAAATATCCTCTCTAAAATTTAAAATTTTTCTTTTGAGGATGGACACTTCTCTCCCCTCAATACAATGGGGTTTTTAGCGGCTTTGCAGGCGGAGTCTCTGCTAGTTTAGGTGAGGCCATGTTCGAATTCCGACTTTGAAGAAATGTTCGTTGTCGGGGTGTTACTATTTTTGTTGTTGATCACTTGTTTTGCCTGTGTGAGGCCGAGGTTTGCGGGGCTGGGTGGCGGGTCGAGCACTCGAGCCATTCGAATTGTGAATTGTAAAGCGGAACACGGAGTCACAGAGGGCTTAGGCAGACCCTAAACACGGGTTGATTTCGGGTTGCCGGGTTTTGGGTTGCCGGGAAAACCCGAACCTAGGGGTGTCAATTATAGACCCGACCCGACAACCCGACCCGAAAAATCAAGGTTTGGGTCGACCTGTTTAACAAATGGGCCAGGTTCGGATTTCAATTTTCAACCCATTTAAAAAACAGGTCAGGTCTGGGTCAACCCGATAACCCGAAACTGACCCGAGCTGACCCGTATACGCCTCTGCCCATTTTCATTTTTCCCGCATCGTCACGTCGCAATGTCGGATCACCTGGCCAGCCGTCTGCCCGTCCGCATCAACATGACCGGCTCTGGCTGACCGCGTCAGGCCTACGACGTCAATCCCAACATCCTGCACGCCTACGCTAGTGTGAGCCAGGAGTTCTCTTGTTCGTGCGTGTGAGACGGGAGTTTGCCTGTTCACGTAGACCAAGTGGTCGATCTTGTTCACGCAGGTGAGCTCAAGTCCAATGTCGCGCGCACCTCTGAGTCTCCGCCCCAGCTGAAGCCTGAAGGAATGCAAATGTTCGGGTTCGCGGGTCGGGTCGGGTCAACCCAGAAACCCGCGCGAGTTGGGTTCGGGTTAAAATATCTGAACTGTTTAACTAAACAGGTCGGGTTCGGGTCAACCCGTTTACAGTCGGGCCAACTCAGGTCAGACCCGAACCCGACCCATTGACCCGAATTGACAACCCTACCCGAACCTGACCCGATTTTTAAATGGGTCAAATTCTCGAATCCGAACCCGAACCCGAACCCGAACCGTATGGCAAACGGATTGACCCGAACCTGAAAATTTTCATCTCGAGTTCAGGTCAGGTTTCAGGTCGGGTCATATCTCATCATTTCTTTCTCTCTCATTATTTATGCAAAAAAAAATTGTGTTAAGATGTCCTTATGCAATTTGGGCTATAAAAGGTTAACAATTTTTTTATTTGCATTGAGATTAGTGCAAGATATGATATCTAACGGTGTGATTAATATCAATTTAAATCAAATGGATGTTAAGCTCTCTCTTGACTCAAAACGCATAATAACATTTTTTTTATGCAAAATTTTGTCATTAATTACCATCATATATTTCTCCTATATATGGCACTCTAAATTTTTTTTCTTTTGTGACGAGGAAGCACTTTTCTTAGGCTAGTGAAAATCCTGATCGACCTAGCATGCAACCCATATCAAATTATACGGGCCAACACTTAAGGCTTTCACTGCTTGCTAAGGGATCCGAACCATGGACCTAGGCTTTGCCCAGCCGGCTCTTCACCACCCGGACAAGCAGCGGTGGGTTAGATATTTTGATTGAATTCTCTCTCTCTCTCTCTCTCTGAAATCCGTTTCACATATACCCATAAGCTCATACTGAATACCTCTCTCCTCCATTTCTCACCACTCATTTTTAACAAAAAACTACGACCAAAATAAATGATCTAATAAATCAGACAGATATAGCCTTTCCTCAAATGGAAAGAAATTAATCAACTCTCCACAACTAATTACCTTCTCCATCCTCCTCTTAAATCTCTAATTTAACCCATTTATTTTTAAATAAGATGGCTGATCGACTCCCCCCCAATCCCCCCTTCAACTCTCCATCCTTCCCTTCCTCCCCTCCTTCCCCCTTCGGCCTCTCTCCCGAGAGCGACTCATGGGTTGACAAATTATTCAACTTCGCTGCATACGCAAAAGCCTCCCATCGTCGCGCTTTTAGCGACTCTATCGTCGCTCTCGAGCCTCCCGCCGCCGCAAACCCAACAATGTCGTCCGCTCCTCCCTCCGACCATAACAATGTCAACGCAGACAACTATAAGCCCAACGTAAACCCACCTGACTATCATGCCCATCCAAACCAGCCAATTCATTTTATCCACTCTGAAGGAGAGATTTCCTCGGCCGACGATACCCTTCAATTACCCATTCAAGATCCCAAGAGGGTGAAGAGGTATCTTCATCAAATTAGAAAATTTGAAGCAAGATGCATCATAAATAAAAAAAAATCTTTTGCATCTGTTATTTGACTTTGACTTTGACTTTTGGCATTTCAGGATATTGGCGAACAGACAATCAGCGCGGAGATCGAGGGAGAGGAAGTTGCAGTACATCTCCGAGCTGCAGAAACGCGTCGGAAAGTTGGAGGTTTATTTGCACAATTTGCAAGCTTTTGTTTCCTTTCAAATTTATAAAAAAAAAAAAACTTAAATCAAAGGCGTTTGTATGTTTTGATGTGGATTCATAGACGGACGTTGCGGCATTGACGCCAAGAGTTGCCTTCTTCGATTGCCAACGGTCGATGCTCGTCATGCAGAATAGCCAAATCAAGCAGCGCATAGCTGTCCTTGCACAAGAGAATTTCGTTAGAGATGGTGAGACCTTTTTTTTCCTTAATGGTAAATTTTGTTTATAGTTTTTTATAAAGATGATTATGAATTGCTATGGAGAAAATAATTTAGCTATTCTGATTGTAAAAAGCAGATTTTTATCACATAGTTTTTTGAAAAGCTGTGAGAAAGTAGTTGCCAAACAAAAAATATAATTGTTGTCATAATACGTAAAAAATATTCGAAACCCTAAACTCCAGAGACCAATCAGAATACACCATGTCACCCCTTCGCTCGGTACGACTGACATGACGCATTCTGGTTGGTCTCCGGACGTTGTTCTGCATCCGATCTCCGCACATAATAAACTCTCCTTAATTAAATGCATCTATCTGATAACATATTCATAATACGTAATAGTTTGATTAGTTAAAATATATAAACTTTTTAATTGTTTTTGCATGAATTTATTTTAGAATGTGTAATATATTCATATATTTCATAAAGGAATTGGACTTAAATGCAGGCTGCTATGAGACACTGAACAAGGAGATAGGAAGGCTAAGTCAGCTCTACCAACGACAGAATCTTGTGCAGACGGATGCGATGACGGCAGCCATCGACGCCGGCGGTGAGGACACGGCCTCCATTTTTTATCAAAATGATTTGCAAACAAACCCCTAAGGAACAGTATTATTACATAATGTTTGGCGTGTTTGCGGATATTAATTTGCAATTTTATGTTGTTGAGTGAATGGTTGTATTTTACAAAGAATAATGGATTGCTCTCATTTAAAACATAAATGAATAATTGTTATGCTTAAGGTTTTGATTCGAATATTATGACTCTCTCTCTCTCTCTCTCTCTCTCTCTCTCTCTCTCTCTCTCTCTCTCTCTCTTGTGTCTGATCTCCGCACATAATAGTCTCTCCCACCTGCCTCTATCGCTAGTCTAGAGTTTTGGGTTTAGGATCTTATAAAGTTTAATGTATTAATGCTTATTGTTGATATATTCATAGACAAATAAATTTAGAATTGATTTAAGCTTTTATAGTTTAATCAGAAATAATTTAGTTGTTAAATTTATTTTGAGATATATATATATATATATATAATATGTAAGAAATTAATCAAAATTTATATTGCACTCAACTCAAAATAAATTTAATAATTTTTATATTCATCTTCACAAGAATTTAATAAAATTATGTTTGAGTCATTTTTTCTATTAGAGATCCAAAAATTATGTATAAAGGAGCATTAATTAATACTTTTTTCACAAATTATAGATCCCGCTAATTAAAGAGCACAACTAAGAATCTAAGGCTTCATTTGGGACGACTTTTTTATTATTTTTTAAACAAACTTTTAATACAATAATTAAAAATTTTATACTTAAAAATTATTTTAAAAAATAATAAAAAAATTGTCCCAAACAAAAATCTAAAATTTCATTTGGGACAGCTTACGTAGTATAATATAAAGCAGCTTGTTATAAAAAAATTGTTTAAAATAGCAGCAAAATAGCTGTCGTAAACTAAGCCTAAAAAAGAAATTATAACCGTTGGACTAATTACCACCAAATTAAGAAATTAACGTGAATTGTCATGATAAAAAAAAGGGCCGCCGTAGGAGTTAGCAGCGAAGAATCATCAATTAACAGGAGGAAAAATTCTCTGGTTTAATGACGAAGGTGAAGAATCCCTTCTTCACCCACCCAATAATACCTTAAAATAATAAGTGAAAGCAGCAGTAAAATCCCAAGTTTTGGGTGAATAAATCTTATTTTTCGGTTAGGATAAGTAATAATTCTATTGAAGTAGGCGGTACGAGAGAATTTTGTGCTATGATGAATTTCAGAACCATCAAACTAGCTTGATTTAAGACTTTGTTGCAGATTTGAATATTTGTGGTGATAGAGAGATAAAAAGTTTAATGTTTTAGTTTTGAATGACATTAAGCTTTGAATGAAGATCTAGCATGTATATAGATAAAGAGAGGTGTGCGAGAGTTATAAGTGACACCAAAATTTTTACGTGGTAAACCTTAAAAAGGGGAACAACCAATAAAATTATATCAAAACATCCTAAAATAAGGCAACCATTCGCAAGAGAATATTGGCATGTTCATTTGGTTGGCAAGATAACGGAGATCAGAGGGACCGTAGTCGGCTGGCGACTGTGGTTAGAGAGATCGTAATCAGCAAGCGACGGAAATCGTAGGGGTCGTAGTTGGTAGGTGATGGAGCTTAAAGGGATCGTAGCCGGCGGGCCACAAAAGTTGGCGGGCGACAAAAGTCGGAGGGATAGTAGTAGAGCCCTACATTGGGTACTCGTACACACACACACCCATGTACCCAACCATACCAATGGGTATGAGTATGCTCGTGGCTTCGTGGTTGAGTATGGATGGGTACTCAACATCAAGAGATAAACTAATTTATATTGATAATCACTGTATGTCGTATATTATCACAATCCTCATAATGTAGTGCGCAACACTGAACCGCGTTGCCACCACGATAAAATTTTGATATGTGGATTGAAAGTTTGCAATTAAAGCAAGGGGCAACAAGCTTCAAGGCCATCAGTGTGTGGCGTAATGCGTTCAAAAAGAGTTGAAAGTGGGTGCGTAGGGGTGGGTACGTCATCCTGAAAGTCACTATGGGTGCGTGTTGGTGGGCGAAGCTCGCACACGTAAAGCTTAGATACCCAACCAGAACCCCATGTAGAGCTTGGGATTGTAGTCGGCAGACGACGATCGATGGTTGGAGGGACCAAAGTTGGCGGGCGATAGAGGTCAGAGGGATTGTAGTCATCAGGTGATGGACACGATGGTCTAAGGGACCGTAGTCGGTAGCCAGGTAGTGGTCCGACGATAGTCATGCAGAAGTCCGATGACAGCTGGCAGTTGATGACGATCGGGTGGTGGTATGACAATGATGGGGCAGAAGTTCGACAGGGGTCCCGTGAAAGTTTGACGGCAGTGGAAGGCCGGGCAGTGGTCTGATGATGGTTGAGTTTCTGATAGCGGTTGGCAGCCGGGTGTAAGTCTAGTAGCGGTCGATTGCCGGGAAGTGATCTAACAATGGTTGGGTGGAAGTTCTGGCCAGTCAGTGGCCGAGTGGATGCCCGGCGGCTATCTACGGTGGGGTGGAAGTCTGACTGCAGTCAGCGGTCAGCGACTAGAAGGTGGTCAGGCGGCAATAAACGGAGGTTTGCCAACAATGGTGCTAGAGCTCTTGAAGCCTCAAACTCTGTCCAATCTTCAACCAGAAGATCCCCCTCATGTTGAAAGTGGAGGTCTATTTATTGATTTTTTTGAATGACATGCTTCTTAAATATAGAGAAGATCTGGGAAAGGTTCAGAGTGCCCCATCGGATGGCCCGTATTGATTCCTCGATTATAGAGCATTTTTCAAGTTTTTAAGTGTCTTAATGATATCGAAATTCAGTAATATTGGGCTCGTTTGATTCGTCTCACTGAGCTACTCTATTCAACTATAAGTATGTCATATTTAGGTATCATTTTATCATTCAATTAATGCTTTGTTCATACTCATCGAGCTCAGATTAAGTCGATTTTGATGTCGTTGGGTTCATCTCTTTGAGATATTCATTTTGTCTATAAATTTGCTAAAATCAAATTTCATATTGTACCCAATTTAATTTTCAAAATTTTCAACTTGTATATGCCTCAAGATTCGTGCTAAATCAAGTCAATTTTTTGTAACATATCAAGACTTATTTTGAGCCAATTTTCAACTGTATTACCATCATAGTGTAGATATTAATCTCAATCATGTACTCACAAGCAATTGAGAACTCCCTCAACGATTTTATAGTGTTTAAATCTCAAAGTTTTTTATCAAACACCTCCAATTTTACAGGAATTCAGTAAAGGATTCAACTACATTTTTGAACCCGTTTTAAGTAAATAAAAAAAAGTAAACTAATTGGACAAAACTGTGAGACCTTTAAATCCAAACGGATAGTTAAAAATTTGAATTATTACATTTAAATCGCAAAGTTATTTATCAAACACCTCAAATTCTATGGGAAGCCAATCATTAAATTCAACTATTTATAAAGAAAATCAAGAAGAGAAACAACAATTAATGCCAGTACGCTAAAATTTTTCCTACCATCTTAGAGTTTTTTAAAACTTTCCAACTATTTTATTTTTCAAATTACAACCACTTTCATTTGTTTATTTTCCCAATATTTTTCAAAAAAATTGAGCCAAAATTTTATAATCAACTTTATAAAAAATTAAAGCCTCCCTCAAAAAAAAAAAAAAAAAAATCCAAGAGATGCATCTCTTTACGCTCTCAATCCGGCCCCACTTTAATTAACTAATTCTCAAAAGATGAAAAAAAAAAAAAAAAATCCTAGAGGACATTATTCTACACTCAAAATGTTGTCCATCAATTGGACATCTTATCTTTCAATTCTCCCTTCAAGGATCTTGATATCATTAAATTTAAAAATAAATGAATTGAGAGGAGAGAACTATAGTTCAAAATTATAGGACAGTACAAAGAGCTAACCCACATTAAAGAATTTAGAAATCCATCCTGCTTAGCAAATGATTTATTCTCTGACTTTTCAATCGGGTAAGATTTCTACCATATAAAAGGTAAATCTGCAAGTTAAAAGTCGCAAATAAAACTTAAGAAGTCCTGAGAAGGAAGGATTTTTTTTTTTTATTCAGTTCTTCAGTGCAGAGATTGATCATTCAAAAAAGTATATTTAAAAAAAAATGAATGCTAAACAAAATGGAAAAAAATAGCCGGGACTGCACCTGAACCTGAAACTTGAACATAGAAAAGAAACTGAAACAGAGTTTAACTTTGAAAATTTGGACAGCCTTCCCTTTAGGAGTAGTATGCACTCCGCATAACTAGAGGTGTCAAAACGTGTCCATGGGTCGGATTCGGGTCAACCCAGATTGGCTCAGATTTAAACGCGTTGACCTTAACCCGAGCCAATTTTGCAAAAGGGTAGGATTGCCAACCCGAACCAGATATATGTGGGTTACCGGGTTGACCCAACACGACCTACTAACCCTCTCTTTTTCAAATTCTAGGTTTGAAGTTTAAACGGTTTGGCGCGTGAGGCGTGATGGCATGGTGACTAGTGAAGATGCCCAGACGGAGACACATGATGGCGTGAACCACTAAAGGCGGATTAGGCAAGGCGGCTAGGTCGAGGCGCTGCCTCGTGCGAGCATGTTGTTGTCGCATGGTTAAGGGCTGAAGGCAGGCGGGAGGGTTGGGTGCGCGTAGAGGTGGGCACAAACTAGCGGGCTAGACTGGTCGTGACATGCGACTGCAGCACCGATTGCAAAAGCAGGCTAGGATGGCTAGTTTGGGCGCATGCTAATGGGCTAGGCCGGGCGAGACCCGTGGCACGGAAGGCTAGCGGACCTGGGTCAACTTCAGGCTGATTTCGGATTTTTGGGTCAACCCGAACCCAATACGATTTTAAGACCGGGTCTTATTTTTGAACTCGATCCCGACCCGTCTGACAAACGGGTTTACCAAAACCTGGAATTTTCAGCGTATGGTTTCGGACCATGTCAAATATTGACACCCCTATGCATAACAGCAAAATACATTGATTGTTATTAACAAAAAAGTTGCGTCAAAAGAAAACGCCTAAAATGGCATTAAAAAAAATACTTGATAATAACAGATTCATGGATACTTCGCACAAAAAAAATGTTATTCGTGTTGGCTGGAATTAAACAATTGAGCTCATAATTATAGTAAATGGTTCCAATATAGCAATAATCAAATCAAAAACATTTTTAAGGCAATAAAACATGTAACAGAATCGAGTCGTTTGTACAGTGGCTATAGCATTCTACTTATCTTCTTAACAGAAAAATTCTGACAAGCGACCCGACAAGGGTGGGTGTCTCTATTCAGACGACAGAGCAAAGAAACAAGCTAATGAAGAAAGTTCAGGACTTGGATTTTCCGGTTTGCAGTGCTTGAATCCTCTGTTGCACTTTCAAAACCTGAATAAAAATAGAGAAATTAACGAAAAATTGATCAAACAGTGCTTACTAAAAATTGTTTCCGTTCATGAAAAGTAGGTTCAATCTGGCCTGGCTATTTGAATAGCAATGGCAAACAGTAAAAAATTGAGTTCTTTAGGATTGGAATAGTCGGCTACATGAATCATTTTTCTCCATTGTGTCCTATTTGAACTTTTATTATGTCCGGTGAACGTACGCTCCTCTACGTTCGGTCACTAATGTTTTAGCGCCACGTAGCATGAAGAAAAGTCGCCGACCCGACCCGCTGTTTTTTGGGTTCTCGCGCGTGCGTTTTTTTTTAAATCTTTGACGAGCCGAACAACATCCCATCACCTTTTGGATATATTTCAAATACCTAGCAATACCGAGCAAATACCAAGTTGTGCCTAGTTTTTTCTAGCAATACCGAGCAATACCGAGCAAATCCCTAGCAATACCGAGCAAATCCTGAATTGTACCGAGTTTTTTCTAGCAATACCGAGCAAATACTGAGTTGTACCAAGTTGTAAAAAACTCGGTACAACTCGGTATTTGCATGGTATTGATCTTCACAGAGCGGTATTTCTCATTTTTGCAAAGCAATACCTAACAAATACCGAGCAATACCGAGAAAATCGCGAACATAGCATTCCCGGGTTCCGCTCCAGGTCAAGTCGTCGGGCCGCGCGGTTTATAGTAAGAGCACGTGGCGACATGTTATTGGCGGCCGAACGTAGCTCTACGTCCAGTCAGAGGACGTAATAATTGTTCGTCCTATTAAAAGTCAAATTCTCGTTTAAATCAAATAAAGAAAGATCATTTCTAATAATTTCTAATCAAGTCTTTTTAAGTCTACCTCTACCTTTCTTAACATTAGTTAAATCTAATACCTCTACTTTCCTAACCGGGTCATCAGAAGGCCGCCGTTTTATGTGACCAAACCATCTAAGGCGACTCTCTCTAATCTTATCTTCCACTGGAGCTACTCCAATCTTTTAAAACTTCTATTATCAAGTCCCAAGTCCTGGATGAAAAAAGTGGAGAGTTGCATTAGGTAGTTGACAGCTAGCGTAAAACTTGTCGAATAATCATGACAAGAATCCTTTAAAAAATTGGAATAGGATTAACGTTGAATTCAATTTGATTTGAAGGTGTCGTGCAAACTTTGTTTCTATAAATAAGGTATTCATTACTAGTTATGGAATTCAATTGATGATGAATTTTAATGCTTTCTTCCCCCTCCCTCCCAATACCCAATCTCCCTTTCCCCGTGATCCTCATCATTTGGCAACACAGCAGAATAATTCCTCTCGCTCAAACCATTTCCAAAGCATCAATCGACTTATACTTCCAATCAACAATGCCTTAACACAATGACCAACAGCAGTCGCATTATACTGCATTTGGCACTCGAATTCCAATAGCAGTTCACCTTCTCCCTTCTCACACATAGCTAGTGCCATCTTCCCATGATTCACTTATAGTGATCGACTACATTCCTTTGAATAGCATATTACGAGAATGATTGTCCTTTGAAGAATGTCCTGTGTATGCTTGGGAGATATATTGGGCATATCTGAACTGGCCTAAACAAGTACAAATGCCTCTTGACTCATTTTGGAACTAAGATATCACAAATTATCACAAGCTTCATCCGGTTGATAAGTACTAATGACTTTAAATTGTTTCATAATGATCATTCTTATTTTCATCATAGTAAAATGAGCCATATTCCAAAAACGATTGTCATTCTAATCATCGATGATCATGATCTCATAGATTTTATAAATTTTTTTTAAGATATATCAATATTGATGTAACTGAACGTTATCACCTCTCATTATAAAAAAGGTGTATCATGTAAAGTATGATTATCATCATTTGTAAATATATCATGCAAATGATTATCTAAGATCTCTTCAAAATTTAAACTTTTCTTCCTCAACATCTCTCTATAGAGAGTCAAACTCCTAATACCTATTGATATAGTTCTAATTGCAATTAACATGGAAATATCCTTTTATAAGAAATTAGTTACAAGAGGGCCTCTTTTTTTTATTTTCCTTCTTATTAGTAATTTAATAATTAACTGCCCTAAATGTCAATAGGTGTTGCAAATAAATACCCAAACCTTATATTAGGAAACAGGTTTTGGGGAGTTAATTTCAGCTTGTGTCCTGGGTTCAAGAAAAATTTCCCTGTTCTAGGGTGTGAATTTCCCACAACTTCAGAGCGGTGGAGGGAACCAACGGCCATAAAAGAGTCCACGATACGCCAAAACTGATTATGATACTCGGCAACAACTCCATTAGCGTCATTCCTATCTTCCTTTCACCTAAAAGAACTAGTGCAAAACCACTTGCTGGTTTTGGCCCTACCAAGTGGGCAAATTATTAGGTCCGGTCACCGGACATAAATTTTCGTATGGATTCCGTGCGCTTTTACTACGCTTTTGATGTATTTTTGAAAAGGAGCAGTTAATACACAATTTTAACTGCATATTAGCTGCTTTTTTGTTGAGTATTTGCAAAAATATAACAAAAGCGCAACAAATATCTTACTCATTGAGTATTTGCTATCCTTTTGTTGTGTTTTTGCTGTGCTTTTTAAATACTCAGTAAAAGGGAAGTAAAAGAGCAGCTAATATGTAATTAAAATTATGTATTAGTTGCTCTTTTACAAAAATACATCAAAAGCGCACCAAAAGCGCACGGAATCCGGACGAAATTTAGGTCTGGTGACCGGACCTAATAATTTGCCTACCAAGTGGCCCTAGGGCAGCAGTAATCTGAGATGGGTTGTTACTGATTGAATACTCCTGGTCTCGAAAGCAGTTCATGCACAAGGAAAGGAACCACAGGTCTGTATCTTTCTTCCTGCGGCAAAACAAGAACCCATCAGGTCTAGAAGTCGTAAGCAGGTGACCTGGAAGACCTGGGAATAGCCAAACTTCATACCTGGATATCAACAACTCTGTAAGTCGGGTTCTCTGTTTCTTGTTAGACTTAATTCGTTTTTTTTCTTCTTAATACACAGTAATCTACCTATTTATTTAGCCCGTCATTGCAGATTGCTGAAATTACAAAACAGCCTAAACTTTGTCACTACAACCCTGAAAATTGCCAATTCTTGATCCAAGAATCATGCCTTACCAGGTTCTCTATTGACCAATCCTTAATATCTCCAGGTAAATCAACAAACTACCTTAGTTGTCCCTGAAATAAACTGTAGGCTGCAAGATCTCTTCTCAATAGAGAAGGATCGAATAGTTCAGTGAGTTAAGAAGGAAAACAAAGTTGTCATGAGAGCTCATCGAAGAAAGCATTGACGTGACCAGTGGCTCTTGAAGGAGAAGTTGCCAAAGAGCTCACTAGAGAAGGAATCAACATGACTAGCGACTGGAAAAGAAGTCTCAATAGTAGAAGCATCGTTCAAACTTCAAAGACAAATAAAAGTTCACAAGTTGCAGGCTTGCAGCATATAAGTCCGGACTCCGGAATAATCTAAATATCCATCATGAGTCATTACAATGGTTGTATCCTTATCAAAATATCTAGCAACACTCTCAACATATACTTTTAAAATAAGAAGGCCCACAAAGATAAATTAAGAATTCAAAGATGAGTTAACTTAAATCAATAATCATCTTTAATCAGGTATGTATCTCGTCTTCTTTTGGTCTTATCATGAATATGTGAATCCCATACATTAAGATGTTTCAAGTATGCCATTATAAAAGTGTAGTTCATTGTGATAAAAAATTTACAGACAAGCAGTGAATTGAGTGGTTCTAATTATGACATGCTCAACAAAGAAATTTTTTTACTTCCAGCGATCTCTTAGCATAATATTCACATCACGATACTACTAAAAAAATAAGAAGATAGACCTAAAACATAATTATAATACTTGCTTCTAAACTCCATTGAAATGTCAAACCTATTAAAAATGACAACAACAAAAAATAAATAAAAAAACAAAAACTTGATAAACACCCTCCTATACTGCATGTTAAACAAAGATGCCCAAGTTGTGATGCTCGCTTGAGCGGTGCTCTATCACTTAAAATTATAGCAGTATCAAATAAGAAAGCATAAAAACAAAATAGTAAATATAAAATAATCTCAAAGAAGTGCTATGAATGTAATTTATTCAAGTCCTTAGTCTGTAAGATCCAACAAGATTTTCTACTGTTCTAATAAAGAAGTCATAAGCATTAATTATTTCCTATGTTGCACCGATACGGATACGGCGACACGGATACGACACGATACGGATACGGGACATGTCAATTCTTAAAAATACATGATACGGGTACGGCGCGGACACGGCATTATAATTTATAAATCATACATAAAAATTAAGAAAACAATCAAAGCATAATATTTAAAATTACAAAAAAAATGACAACAAATCATTTGTAGCCTTGTAGCTTATAATATCAAAATATAAGTAAGCATTAAATGTCTAGTACAACAACAAAAGCATAAACATAAATTATCTAGTACATGAAGTTTCAACTATTCAATAGAAGAAATGATATGATTAACTTCTTCAGTGATTTGCCTTTGAACTTCTATATCATCTTCAATAAATATCATAGCTTCTAATTTAGGCTCATCAAGTGAAAGATTAGTAATTTCTAAAATTCACATATCATCAAGAGACTCAAATCCATCTCGGAAATGAGAGAACCTTGCTCGTAGCCGCAGAAGTAAATACGACGCTTTTTTTTTTTAGTTTTCTTTTTGTTTTTCAACGGACACGCGTATCGGATACACGTGTCCTTTTGAAATTAAATAGTATTTTAATTGGATACGGCATTGGCGTATCCGACACATATCGGTAGTGTATCGGAGGCGTATCCGTGTATCGGTGTATCGGATACAGCACGCCTTCATAAATAGGTGTATCGGTGCAACATAGATTATTTCTCTTTCCTGCCCACTTGATTATTCTATTTTGATTTATTACTTAACTTTCTTACCCTAATTAAGTGT